TCCCACTTGGGGGAATGGTCCGGCGGCTCCTGAAAGGTTAAACCCGGAGCCGCCTTGAGATGTGGCAAAGCTATCCTTCCCAGCTGCGCACTCCGAAGACACGAAAGCCCACGTCCACACGAAGCTCATCCAGGGACGTTCGTGGCAGGCTTACTCATAACGGACGTTGTAGTGGGAACGGCGCAAACGTCCACCCCAATGAACAGACACGTGGCATGAGGTGCATCCATCACCGAGAAACAGGAGCGACACCCTGACACCTGCTCCAACGTGGACGGTCCTGGAGACGCTGCGTGGAAGCAGCCAGACACGAGAGGCCACACAGTGTGCGACCCCACGTAGGTGAAATGTCTGGAAGAGACAAGTCTGCACGGGCAGAAGGCGGACGGCTGGCGGCTGGGGGCGGGGGAGGGGAGGTGACCGCTAACGGGCTCATGGGGTTTTTTTGCGGGTGGGGGGAGGGTGATGAACACGCTTTAAAGTTGATTGTGGTGAGGACGACAGAGCGGCGTGAATGCACAAAAAAGAACTAGACTGGTCTTCTCTTTAAACGGGAATGCAGGGTAGGTGAATTACATCTCAATAAAGCTATTTCTTAAATTTTTTAGACCAAATCCGTGGTGCCCCGAGATGGGTGGGTGGCCGCAGGGTCCGGCACATTTACCTGCCCCCCCAGTCAGGTAGCACAATGCTGCTCCGCACAGGGCACCATGGCCCCTGAGCTCCCTGACCTCCAAGACCTCTTGATGACCAAGAGTCATATGAAGAGCCAAAGACCCCGTGAGCACAGATAAGTTACAAACAGAGCGCTGGGCAGAACTAACTGGGAGGAAAGCCTAGAACTAGCTCTGTTTTACAGCCAACCCAGCCCTGCATCATTAGCCCGGTTCTTCCAGTGGATACTGGGCCTAAATGCCTCCCTGCACAGCACCCCAGCAAGGAGCACCCCGTCCGGGGTCAGCACCCTCCAAAGACAGAAGCAAGCCACATAACTTAACCAAGACTCTGTGGGCTTCAGACCAGGAGGCCACCAGATGCCACCATGCTGTGTGCCCGTGCCCCTGGGTTTTGTGGAGAGTGAGCTGGTCACAGCCTCCCATCAGAGACCCACTGCTGGTTCTCAGCACTCAGCGTGCCCAGATCATGTAGAACGGGGCCGGCAAGCATTTCTGTAAAGAGCCAGCTAGGATATATTTTCAGCTCTGCAGACCACATGGTCTGTCACGTCCAGGACGCTGCTGGAGCGTGAAAGCAGCCCAAGGTGGCATGCAAAGGAGCAGACGTGGCTGTGTGACAATAAAACTTTATTTACAAAAGGCAACCTGTAGACTGGGGGAAACGATTTGCAAATCACATGTCTGGCAAGCGATTAATATCCATAGTATATCAAGACCTCCTATAACGTAATAACAGAAATCAAACAACCCCATTGGAAAAGGGGTTAAGGACTTGAATGGATATTTCTCCAAAGAAGATACAGGGATGGAGAATAAACCCAAGAAGGGATGCTCAGCATCCCTAGCCATCAGGGAAACGCTAATCTAAACCACAGTGAGATACCACTTCATATGCACTAGGATGGCTATGAGCAGAAAGACAAAAAATGTGCTGGAAAGGATGTGGAGAAACCGGGGCCCTTGTGCACGGCTCCTGGGAAGGTAAAATGGGGCAGCTGCCCTGGAAAGCAGTTTGGCGACTCCTCTAAAGCAAAGCAGAGTAACCGTGTGACCCAGCAAGCCCACCTCCAGGGCCATCTCCAGAAGAACGGAAAGCAGGGACCTGAAGAGATATTTGTACATCCATTTCCCTAGCAGCACTCATCAAAACAGCGAAAAGGTGGAAGAAAGAGACCCAAGTATCCACAGATAGACAGATGCGTGGATACACAAGACGTGGTCCATCCACACCCTGGACTGTGACTCCACCTGAACAGAGGGACATGCTGACACCTGCCACAGCGTGGACAGACTTTGGGGACGTGATGCTGAGTGCAATAAGCCAGACACAAAAGGACAAATACTGCAGGATTCCCCCCCCAATGACGTCCCTAGAGTCTCCAGATCCATGGAGACAGAGAATGGATGAGGGGCCCCCGGGGTTGGGGGTGGGGCTGCCTCGTGTCTCAGGGGGACATAGTTCCTGTTTGGGAAGATGGAAAGTTCTGGAGACAGATGGTGTGGATGGCTGCACAACAGTGTGAATCCACTTAATGCCCCTGAGCTGTGCATTTAAACACGGCTAAGCGGTACATTTTACTCCACGTGTAATTTACCAACATTAAAAAAAAAAGTATTGACAAAAGCAGAAGATGGGCAGGATTTGGCGTGTGAGCCAGGGTTTGCCATGCCCTGCCTCAGAATCACATGCCCTGGCCCTTGATTTTGGAGCAAACACTTGAGCATGGCTGCAGGAGGCAGAGTTGTGGCCCGAGACGCGCACTTCCAAGGCCCGTCTGCCGTCCCCCTTCACCGCCCAGGACGATCACCCAGAGCATCAGAAACCCTCTCTGCCATCTGATTAATCCCTAGGGGGTGTCTGATTACACCCACAAGCAGCAAGGATAATTTGAGGCCATAACAAAGAACACTTGAGGCAAACCAAATCCTTGAACTCATAAGCTAGCACCTCAGGTCACCTGTGAGAATTCGCCACAGAGAGTAAATTAATCGTCACTGTGAAGTGCAACCCTCTGCCACTAATGATGTGACATCCTGGCTAGTCACTGAATTGCCACTCAAGGGTAATGTCCCGTTCTTCCTGCGTGGCAGCAGGGGTGGTCACGGCCTGAAGCCTGAAGCCCAGAATCCACGCGGATTTACGACATGATAAACATCTCCCCGCAGACAATGCATCCAGGGCGTGGGGGATGCCAGGCATCCACACGGGGGCCGCACGTGATGAATGGAGGCCCGTAGGACATCGGGAGGCCACTGAGGAGCAGGGTCCCTCGGTGGCTTCCCAATGAGGCAGCACTGGGGCGCGTGAGGACGCAGGACAGGGCAGCTGGCAGGGAGGAAGAAAAGGAGACCAGAGGAGCCTCGGCCTGACCGATAATTCTGCCCCTGCTCCACCACCAGCCCAGGACCCAGCACTGCCTGGCCCACAATGTCCCAGCGAGGGAAAGTCCTCTACATCCACAGCACAAGGGCCTCCAGCCATCCTGCCTCCGGCCGAGAGGCCCTGGGATGCTCTTTTCGGGCTAGTCTCTGCGTCAACAGCCACCCCCTAGAGCAGGCCAACTACCACTGGAGATTCACCCCCAGCCTTCACGAGGGGCCCAGACTGGCTCTTTCCTCCTTCCTTCTTCGCCTTGTGTGGCAACGACCACCACTGCAGGGGTGGGGACTCTGAAATCCAGTGCTCCCCACCATTGGGGAGCCAACAGGAGTTCCCTAAGAACAGACTCAAGGCCCAGCCCTGACAAAGGACTTGCAGAGAAATGTCCACAGGGTAGGCCCACCACCACAGACCCCGGGATGGTGACAGGCCAGAAGTCCAATCAACTGGCCAAGTGTCCTTTTCTCAAGAAAACCCAGAAGTAAGAAGCCTCAGGGATGTTCAGCCTGGTCCTGAACTAATGCGGCGCGGCTGGCCTGACACCGACGTCTCCAAAGGCAAGAATGATGAATGAGCACGTACAGTGTGCAGACCAGGGTTCAAAGCCAGGTGGCTCCTGACAAGGGGACAGCATCGGGCATCGGCTGGAGACAGAGAAAGGGGAATCCCAGCTCTGCCGACTCGGCCGTGACAGCTGGGGCTGGCACGTTCCTCTACGGAGCCCCCCACGAGCCCCCCGCCTGGCCAGAATACCCCTCTTTGCCCAGGGGAGGGGCAGGATGCAGCACAGAGCACGCAGAGGACTGGCACGGAAGGGCCTGAACAGGGGAATTTCAGGCAGGACTGGGAGCAGTGCTCCCAAAAAAGCTGATGGTGACCAGGACCGGGATGGGGCAGTGGCTCTGTCACTTGGCTCTTGCCTGCTGTATTTATATCCCCAGGACACACATTCTCACTGGGGTCTTGGAGGGTGAAACAAATCTTAGTGTTTTTAAGTAAAAGGTATAGACATAGAACAGGCCCACAGACAGATCTACAGCATCTTGCAGTGTTAACATTTCACTGGAGTGGACAATTAGGAAAAAATGTCTAAAAAGTCTTCTCGGATGGGCAATTAAAAAAGAGAAGTTTGAGAAACACTGTCCAAAGGGGTTTGGGCCTCCCGTACCGCCCATGATGGTCCCCGGCTGCAGGGCCAGGAGAGAGGACACGTGTGCTCTGCCTGGCTGGATTGAGCTACTCCGTGCCCACGTGGCTGTGAGTGAGGTGTGTACCTGCTGGTGACCACGTCCTCCCGAGAACGGCAATGACCTCGCTTTCCTTGTGCAACTGGTCAAGGTAAGATCCACATGCGGGCAGCACTCAGCAAATGCCCGTTTTTAACCACAGGCTGCACATGAAACCATGCCAGCAGGGCACAGAGTAGATGCTCAGTGAAACAGGCGCTGGGCACTAGGCCATGAGCTCAGGGCATGCCTTGATTCTGCAGAAACACCAAGCATGGGCTTCCGGCCATTGTTCCCTGCCCCCAGGCACAAATGGGTGCTCCCCCCCTCCCCGGAGTCCATGCAAAAATGGGGCAGGGATGCTCAGAGAAGCCCCCTCATCCACCATTGACCCTTACTTAGACGCACTGGCTGGGTCCAGCATGGGCACAGCAACAAGGAGCAGAGAGGAAAAGGCAGGGCTGGGGCCTCAAGCTATGGTCCCGTTAAGTCCTCTCGAGGTCACATCAGCTGGTGACCAAGGGGCAGCTTTGTTTCCCCAGGCTTGAGGACAACCCCATCCACCCTCTCCCCATCCTAACACAAAACCAGGGGCCCGACTGCAAGGAACTGACCATCCTCTGGCCACGATGCAGAAGGGGTGAGAGGTGGACCACACCATGACAGGGGTGACTGGCTCGCAGGTGAAAAGGATGAGGAGGAAATGCTCAAACTCACCAGAGGTGTTGGCTGACTGGGCCCTACAGAAAAGCTTCTTAGAACAGGAGCTGTCTGTGCTCCGGTGGGCCGAGGCGCGGAGACTGGAGGGGCTTCCAGAGCTGGGAAAGACAAGAAAACCAGGACATGGTCAGACAGAAGCTGTCAAGAGGCAGAATGTTAAAACTCCGAGTGGATGCTGCTATCTCTGAGCCAAAAACTAGGGGCTGCACGTATGCCTCCAGAAAGATGGTGTAGGCGTACTTTTCCCAATTCCTCCCACAGAGTACAGTTAAAACACAGGGATGTTATACAGAAAACAAACACGAGACTCTGAAAGGGGGAGAGAAGGGGGAAACCTGGCAAGGGACCGGGAACCCCGAGGAGCGGCACGAGGGGTCAGGTCTCTGGGGTGGGGTTTAGCCTCATCCATCCCAGACGTGGAGCTGGAGAGCCAGAAACCCACACACACCAGGAGAAGCAGACAGAAAGCCACCACAAATGACTGTTCTCTCTAGCCAAGGGACCAGGAAAGTGGCAGCCTAATGAGACAATGTGTTAAGACAAGGACCACTCAATAGACACCCCAGAAAAACTGGCACCCACCCGGGCCCACGGCAGCAAAGGCTGAGGGGGGTGCCCAGACTTCTAACCTGTGTGGCTGTAATAGGCACCCCAAGCCCCCAGGGGGGTGCTGTCAAATAAGCCGAAAAAAGGAGCTGGGACTTACTTCCCCACCGGGTGGTAACAAATCCTCCTCACATTCCACTATATTGGTGCAGGTAATGCGGGGAGCCTGGGTTTCCACACCCACTGGGCAGTAACAAGGTACCCCTCCCTCACCCCACTGGACTGGTGTCAGGAAAGAGCTAATGGAGAGTCAGGACTTTCTCCATCACCAACAGAAATGAGGCCCCCCCCACCATGGTATTGGTGGGGACCATGTAGAGAGCAGGAGCCCCCAACCACACCGGCAACAACAAGGAGCCTCCCCACTGGAGTAACGACAGAGGTCAACTGGAGAATGAGACTTCTGCGTCCACCTATCAGTGATGGGGCAGCACCCCTCCTCCCCTGTGAGAGCCATGAGAGAATGTCAGCTGAAGCAAAGGCTTAGGAAGACCCACAGTCACACATCATCATATGAAAATGTACACATTTCCACTGAAAATCATTCATCATCCCAAGAACCAGGAAGATCTCAAATAGGACAAGGACAACCAATGGCTGCTGAAAATGAGGTGACAGAGATGTTAGAATTACCAACAAAGAGTTTAAATAAAAAGTCACAATAAGAAAGCTTCAATAAGCAATTACGAACATGCTGAAAACAGATGAAAAACAAAGTTTCATAAAAAAAACCCAACAACATCAAATCTCAGCAAAGAAGTAGAGACAAATAAGAACCAGGTAGAAATGTTAGGAGTGAAAAATGTAGTAATTCAAACAAGCAACTCAGTGCATGGACTCGACAGCAGGGAGGGGACAGAAATAACCCGTGAACTGGAAGACAGACCAACAGATATTACCTAAACTTGCACAAGAGAGAAAACAGACGAAAAATTAAAAATAAACAGAGCCTCAGGGACCAGTGAGCCTATAACTTCATCAGAGTCCCAGAGAAAGAGAAGGGGGAGAGGGATCTGAAAAAGTACTCAAAAATATAACAATTGAAGGCATCCCAAATTTGGGGAAAGACATAAGCCTACAGATTCAAGAAAGTTTATCAAATCCCAAATTGAATAAACCCAAGGAAATTCACACCAAGATGCATCATAATTCAGGAGGCCTGGGTGGCTCAGTTGGTTAAGCGGTTGCCTTCAGCTCAGGTCATGATCCCAGGGTCCTGGGATCAAGTCCCACATCGGGCCCCCAGCTCGGCGGGGAGCCTGCTTCTCCCTCTCCCTCTGCCTGCCGCTGCCCGTTTGTGCGTGCTTTCTCTCTGACAAGTAAATAGATAAAAATCTTAAAAAAAAAAAAAAAGATGCATCATAATTAAACTTCTGAAAACAAATAACAAAGAAAAATCTTGAAAGCATGCAGAGAAAAATGATACCTTACGTATAGTGGAAAAATAACTGGAGTAATAGTGTATTTCTCATCAGAAACCATGGAGGCCAAACACAATATATTTGGAGTAATGAAAGAAAAGAACGATCAGTCTAGAATTCTATATCCAGCAAAAATATCCTGTAAGAATAAACAGAAAATCTAGATATTCTTAGATTAAAGGAAACCAAGAGAATTTGCCATCAGGAGACCTATCCTAAAAGAATGCCTAAAGAAAGCTCTTTAAACAGAAAGGAAACAATAAAAGAAGGAATTTTAGAACACTGGGAAGGAAAAAAGAACACAGTAAGCAAAAATAATGAATAAATACAATAGGCTTTTTTCTCTTCTTAAATTTTCTAAATTATGGTTAACAGTTGAAGCAAAAATTACAATGCAATCAGATTTGGTTCTAAATGTATGCAGAGAAAATATTTAAGACAGTTATGTTGTAAGTGGGGGAGGGTAAAGAGACATAAAAGAAAGTAAGGTTTGTATATTTCACTCAAACTGGTATCACAGTAGATATATGTACAGAATATAATGTCTAGAGCAATCACTTAGAAAGCTATGGAAAGCTCAAAAACAATTACAGGTAATCCAAGTGGAATTCTAAAAATATTCAAATGACCCACAAAAAAGGCAGAAAAAAGGTAACGGATATGAAAAACAGAGAGAACATAAAACAAAAACAAAATGACAGACATTAAGCCTTAACACATCAATAATTACATTAAAGCTAAATGGTCAAAATATACCATTTAAATGACAGAGATAGGCCAAATGGACTAAAGAGATTTTAAAAGACCCAATTATGTTAGGTCTACAAAAATTCACTTCAAATAGATACATAGTCAGGATGAAAAAAGATATGTAAACATTAACCACAGGAAGGTAGGCATGGCTATACTGACATTAGATAAAGTAGACTTCAGAACAAAGAAAACTACCACAGAGAGGAACATTATATGGTGACAAAACGTCAATCCACCAGGAAGAATAGCAACCTTAAATGTATATGCACCAAACAACAGAGGAGGAAAATGTGTAAAGCATAAATGGATAGAACTGAAAGGAAAAAGAGACAAATCCACAATTACAGTTGCACATTTCAACACCCGCATCTCAACAACTGATAGAGAACTAGACAGAAAAGTCAGCAAGGATGTGGAAGAGCTCAACCAACAGATTCTAAGTGATATTCCTAGAACCGTCCACTCAATAACAGCAGAATATACACTCTTTCCAAAGTCCTCATGGAACATATAGCAAGACAGACCATGCCCAGGGACACTAAACAACCTCAACACATTTAAAAGTGAAATCATACATAATGTGTTCTCTGACCACAACCGATTCAAATTAGAAATCCATAACTGAAAGGTGACAGAAATCTCCAAATAGTTTAAAACTATAAATATAAGCACACTTCTAAATAATTCATGCATTAAAGAAAGAATTTAAAAGGAAAATTTTGTAAATACATGGAACTGAATGAAAACAAAAAAGTAAGGCATACCAAACTTTGTGGGACACAGCTAAAGCACTGATAAGACAAATATTTAGAGCACTAAATGCATACATCAGAAAAAAAGGAATAATCTCAAATCAAAGTCTAAGTTCCTATCTCAAGAAGTGAGCAAAAGGAAAGGAAAATAAATCCAAAGCAAGCAAAAGGAAGGATATAATAATCATAAGAGTGGAGAAAACTGAAAACAGAAAAATAGAGAAGAACAATGAAACAATGAGGTGGTTTTAATAAAAAGTCCATAAAATTGACAAAACTCTAGCAAGACTGACAAAGAAAAGAACAGAGACACGAATTACCAATACCAGAAATGAAATGAAGATACCATTACAGACACTGGAGGAGTGTTTATTATCAAAAAGATAGTAAAGGAGTACTATGAAATACAAACTATCTCAACTCATCCAAAATGAAATAGGTAATTTGAATAGCACTTATAAGTATTAAGAAAATTGAATCCATAATTTTAAAGCTCCCCATTTTGGAATAAAAAATAAACCTCTAAATGGTTTCACTGGAGAATTCTGTGAATGTTTAAACAAGAACTAATACCAATTCTACACACTCTCTTGAAGAAAACAGAATAGGAGGAAATACTTCCCAATATATTTTATGGAACAAGTATTACCCTGATACTAAAACCATATAAAGAGAATACAAAAGAAAACCATAAGTTAATATCCCTTATGAATATAGATGTAAAAATCTTAAACAAAATTTTACAAAACAAAATTTAGCAATATATGAAAAGAATTATATACCATGACCAGTTGGGGTTTATTCCAGGAATGCAAGGCTGGCTCAATATTTTTTTAAAGAATCAACATGGGGTGCCTGGATAGCTCAGTCAGTTGAGCATCCAACACTAGATTTCAGCTCAGGTCATGATCTCAGGGTCCTAAGAACGAGCCCTGCATTGGGCTCCACACTCAGCAGGGAATCTGCTTGAGGATTCTCTCCCTCTGCCCCTCCCCCAACTCATGCACACACTCTCTCTCTCTAAAATAAATACATATTTTTAAAAAATCAATCTATGTAATACACTATTTCAACAGGCTAAAGAAGAAAAATCACACAATCATATCAATCAGTGTAAAATGAGCATATGACAAAATTCAACCTCCTATCTATGACAAAAACTCTCCCCAAGATAGGAGGAGGGGAACTTCCCCAACTTGATAAAGTGCCATCCGCAAAAGCAAAGAAGTCTGCTCTCATTACTTATTGAACTTAGTGGCAGATGTTCTATCAAATGCAGTAAGGAAAGAAAAGGAAATAAAAAGCAAACAGACTGGGAAAAAGAAACAAAACTGTCCCCATTTTCAGATGACATGACTGTAGAAAATCCCAAGGAACCTACTAAGAAAAATAATAAGTGAGTTGAATGAAGTCCCAAGATATAAGTCAACATATAAATGTCAACAGTATTTCCATATGCTAGCCATGAACACCAAAATTTAAAATACAACACCATCTATAATTGCACAAAACTAATGAAATACTGAGGTGTAAATCTAACAAAACATGTATAAGACTTGTCT